CCACTCACTAGCTATATAATATAACATAAGAGTGCATGGCATTTTAAAACAGAGGAAAATGTTATGTTCATTATACCATGGAGCTTACCATCTTAATTAGACTTGATACCACAAAGATAACACACAAAAGGCTTTTACATTGATAAAACAGTGTTGAAAATCATGCTGCACTTACTATTTGCAACCTTCTTCTTGGATTTGTTCAGTAAACCTGAAAATTTAGCTACCTTGCCATGTTCAGAAGAAGTTTCAAGACGCCATATGAAAGCACTCTATTTGATTCTTTATTAAACAGAAAAAAAAAATCTGTTAACTGTCTGCATTTCTTATCAACTAATCTGTATAGAGAAACACTGATCAGGAATTTGAAGCTCAGCAAAAGTATTTTTTTTTCTTTGTACAATGCTCTCTGTTCAGTGTTCAGTAGTCATTGAGAAGGCTAAGAGGAGAAAACAGGGAAGGCTATTGGTAACATGCATCCCTCCTCCTTTTCCTCTTGTACTGTATTGAAAAGACTTACCAGTTTGACAAATATCATCAGCAAGCTAGGAATTACTATATCTCCAGCCCTCAGGAGTTTCTTATCTTAAAACCAGCCTTTATTAGGGGTTTGTGGCTTTGCTTCAGTGTTAAATCCTACTCTTTCTTTAAAAGTAGAAAACAAAAAACAACTAAATACAGGAAAACTGTGTATATTTGTTTAGATATTGGTACAAACACCAAAAATAATAGGTAGCGCTTCCTAGGTTGGATGAAAATTTATTGTTTGCATTTTTAAATTGTTTTAATTACTGTCAGTGATACAGGATCTCCACCCTGCTGCGTCTGTGAACATATACAGTGACTTCTAGCAACAAAAACTTGATTTTACAGTATAACAGAAAGATTTTGCTGACAGCTATAGTGTTAAAATGTGGCTTTTTATAGCTTTTAAGCGGAAGGATGTTCCTGAAATAGAAACTGAATTCATGATTATTCATCAGTTTTATTTTCCAATATATAATATTGTTCTTAGTCTGAAGTTCTTGTGTAATTCAAATACCACAAAGGCATCAAATGACAGTGATAACACTGTCACACTATTACACTAGGATACGGGGAATACCTGACTTCAATGTTATTCCTATCTTCATCTGAAACTTATGATCATAAGTAATAAATTGGTGATGCCCTAGTATTGTGATGGCTTCTGACTGAGCAGAGAAAAACAATAAGGAAAGCTTCTGATGTTTTCAGAGATGGAGTGTATTAGTAATATGCTGATACTATGGTAACATATTAACAGGGATAGTGATAGAAGAAGAAAGTTTAGGAAGAGGATAGATTTGGGAATGCATTGGTGCTATAAGGCAGTGAACAAAAACTTACTATATTTGCTTTTTCTTCAAAATAGTAAGTTCATTTGGAGTTGCCATCTGATGTTGAAATCATTGCCATTTAGACCATCTGTGTTACTCTGGTAATAATGTGCTTTTAGTATCTGTTCCCGATTTATAAATAGATGTAATTGATTTATCTGTCACAGTCACAGTCTTGCTCTGACTTTTTTTTATGGGCTCAACCTGTAGTTCTCTGTAAGCCTAAGTCAATGTAACTGCTTATTACTGCAATTTTTGCCCCTGGTTATGGTGTCCTGCCCCTTCTCATGTGCTGAGTCCACCCTTTCCTGACCTTGTAGTGTTTCAGCATGGTACGTTAACAGGAAACTAACTGCACGAAAAGCCGCTGTGAATAATTTTCAGTACTGAAAGTGCCAGAACACCAGCAATGGAGGAGATGAACTATTCTGACAGTAGGAGCAAGAACAGGATCAGAGTCGCTAGCGGTTAGGTTGACTTAGGCTCTGTGCAACAGCAGCCTTGAGTGTAGTTTGTCCCTCTTGGACCTCCTAATATCCATTTTTGTTATTCTAAGCTTTATTTTTTTTTAATTTTGCTTAGATTTTCTTTTTTTAACCTTAAGCATACTGCCTTGGACTTTGTGGTCTCTGTGGATGATATTCCTTTAGTGTTTAATTGGATCAATAATGAATGTGAATTATTTCACCTTTTTTTTTTAATTTTGACATGCACAATGTTTACCTTATTTAGATGTAGTTGCATTAAAATTTTACAGGTAAATGAATTCAGCAGTAGAAAACTAGGTAAAAATCAACTTGCATAGTAATTGTAGTAAGCACTCTGGAGATGGTTAGGTTTCAGCTGTGCGCACTAAAATCTTGCTGTATTCCAGGAACCTTTTCTGACTGTTGATCTCTATAGGACACTTCTGCTTCTTCTGGTACTAACTCTCTAGCTGCACAGCTTCTACAGGCATATACTCCGTTTGCTTCTGTGAATTGCAGAGAATATGCTGAGCAAATAGGTCATTTTTATTGTGTCTTAGTGTGCAATTGATAATTTGCCACTACTTGAAATAAAAAGTGCTGTGTTGTTACTCTTCCAACCATGTTAAGGTTAAATGCAAGTAAGCGTTCATTCAGAATATCCAAAAGGACAATTTAATTACAAAAGACCTAAAAAGGGAAAGAAAAATCTGATTTATAGCCCTTTTATTTGGATTAAATTGGAGAGGTCCCTCTCCCTTTAACCCCTTTTTGACACTGGGTTTAATCCTTATCTTTGTGTGTATAGCAGGATTGTCTTAAATGAGAAAAGAACTATAATACCTTTTATGTATGACAGTCTAATTGAAATGGTAGTCTATTTTTAGTTAAAATATATACAGTTTTTTTGTTTGTTTTGCATAAATCAACTTATATGTAGATACTACTAAAACATCTGCAGAAGTTCTGTTTCAAGAAATAAGTAGTTCTGTTGATGTATCTCCTTGAAATTATGCAGTCCAGTAATCTCTCAGCAGCCAATCCTCCAATTTCCTACAAATGCTACGAAAATAAAAAGTCTTATTCTTTCACTGCACTTTCACCAATATATAGGATATGCTTCATTTTTGGCAAATGTATTTTTATGTTTGTGTGTGTGAAATCCTTTACTCTTTATAGACCTAGAAATAAATACCAATAAAAAAGATACTGTTCTTGTGTGCTGGTTTTCTTGTACCAAGTTTTCCCATGAGATTTGTTAAGGTATGACTATCCGAAGCTATGAATCTAAATCAGCCACCATATGAGGGCTTGGGATATGAATGAGGAAATAGTGGGCAGCTTGTTTGATGAAGAAAAGAGGTAGTGGACTTCCTGAGGCACCCTGGCCAGTGATGCAGGAAAAGCACCTGAGCCTTACCACTGTCCAGGGCCTATTCCACTGATGTTCCCCCAACATCCACAATCACTGGGGGATTAGAGGTGTTAGAAGGTGTATCTTTGCCTTTAGTATCTGTTTATAGACCTACAATCCATGAATTTATGTAATTCTTTTTGGACTTTCTGTGATCCTCTGTCTCTAAAACCTCCTATGACAACAAAATCCAGAAATACACTGCCTGTCCTTTGGAAAAGTACTTTATCTGTTTTAAATCTCTTCTAGAGGTTTCATTGATTGCTCCCTAGCTCTGCTACCGTGGGATTTGATTATATGAAATCAATAAAGTTCAAGTAGAGAATAGTGGAGAAAGGACTAATAGTTCTTTAGAACTATCATCCCAGTTAAGTAAGACAGAAAAACACAACCAGACCAAAATCTGATGTGTAAATGCTCATACAGAATTGCTGAAAAAGAGCTGCTGGAGTGCTTAATTTGCTACTGATATAACCTTCATTCCAAAAATTTAGTGAAAGGAAGCTAACTGGTGATATCAAGAAATCAAACACAAGATAATGAGGTAGGTGATACTGCTGAAGGAGATGTTTGTCTTAAGACAGTTATAAAGAGAAGTAAATTTACTGTTGTAGATGTACCATGAAATACATTTGAACTGAAATTCTCTGACTAATTTGAGTGTTTAAAGTTAGTTTATATTACTGATCACTTGGTGAGGATGATGGCAGTGGTTGTCATGGGAGTTGAACAAGGTTGTGAAGGCAGAGAACAGCGTAATAACTTCTGCTAGTGTCCTCTAGACTTGATAAATGTCATGGTACTACGTGATGTTAAAGCCTAGGTTTTTAGTGATTGTAAATAACAGCTTCTTGGAACACCTACTCAGCAAACCCATCTAAAAGGAGCAACTACTGATATAACCCTGAGCAGCTGGACTACAGTTGTTAGTCATCCAGAACTAGTGACTACAATGTGCCCAAGTCCTGCAACTTCATTCCAGGAGCATAGAATAATCTGTATGCATGCTAATCCGTTCTTCCGAAATCCCTCAGTGACGTGAATTTAAAAAGGGGGCTTACATTAAATACATTAAATTTGGAGCTTGGTTGAAAAGAAATCAAAAGAACTACTAAAAATTATCAAATTACATTATGGGGTCTATTTAAAGACTTTACACTGAAGACTCGATAATGTGTGTATCACCAATAATGTGATATACATTGGTAAATGTATATCACAAATAAATAAAGACTCTGAAAAGGACCTTAAGCCCAATCAAACAGCATATTTTGACAGCAGAATAAAGCAGGTTATTAGGAGTAGAAAAAAACATCTTTAAAGATTGGAAATTGTGATGATATGAAATCAGGAAAAAAAAGTTGTCTGTCAAATCCTGATATTGGGAGAATTTTGCAGAGCAACTTAGTAAACAGCTAGAAGCTAATAATAATGATTTTGATTATGTCAGAATCAGAAATTGTATTTCAGAACTGGAACAGATGATGGAAGCGTGTAAGAACGTGTGAGGAAGTTGAGGAATATATCGTCTTGTCTTTACAGTGGAGATCACAGGGGTTATCTGCGTTGATCTGTTCTCCACAGTGTATCCATGAAAGAAAAGGAGGGTAAATAGGCCGTAAAGTTTGGCGCAGAATTATTCAGGATACTTAAAATGCAGAAGTCTGTAAAGTACCTTTTGTTAAAATACATTTTGCATATATTTTGCTAAAATCTGACATTTTATTGTATGATATCATATGCTTTCCTTTTGTCTTTCAGCTTGCGATGAATGGAAGATTTTACCAAAACCTAATCTCCATCGAGATGTAAACAGATTTGGTCACAGTGCTGTTGTCAGTAATGGGTAAATGAAGCACATTTTAAATTTTCCTGACCGTTTTTCTGAATCAAAAAACTGTGGCAACAATTACACCTCCATGAAGTGTGGCTTAATGTCATACAGCTGATGTAATTTATTAACATGAAGAATAGTGCTCAGAAGTGACTTTACAGATCTTAAATCATCATCAGTACAGCTAATCATCAATGTGACATGCCATGAAACGTGTTCAGAGGTTTTTCATATGAACCTTTTGGTGGATTTTTTCCTTGCTGTTGTAACTTACAGTGAGTTTGAAACTCTACGCTCCTCGCTTTCATATAATGGGCAAAATCTTTTTATAACATATTATGATTCCTTGCTGTTCTACAATCAGAATTAAAAACATCTAACTGAAATTTATCTAATGGAGGAAAAGCAAGATTTTAAAGATACTGATGCAGTCAATAATTATTATCAACGGCTTGCAGGAAAAAAAAAGTCTACCAGCCTCGGATTAGATTAAGCATATTGCTTAGCCTCTGTAAAATGTATCATACTTTCATGAAACTTGCTATGAGTAGAAGAGCTCAGTAAAACTTAATCTAGAAACGGGAGATGGGGTGGATCTGGAGTCTGCTGGATTTGATGGCTGAACTCTCTTGTTTCCCCCACAGCAACCCCCAAAAGATAAAATTGTATAACAAACATCACCTTTTCCATGTAAAAGGTGTAGAAAACTGAAAGCAGGTTTAAAAAAATTTCTATTGTTGGCTTGTGTGGGTTTTACTGGCTGCCAAATGGCCTAATCTATTACGTTTATGGTACTGTAAATGACTGTGCCTTAATGTCTACTACAGAACACGCCTCTTCTACATTATTAATTATTATAATAAGCTCAATATTTAAATATTTGCAGGTACCTGCATCTTCTACATATGAATATTATATGAGTCAAAAGTAAAGGAGATAGTATGTAGTACTACAAATAACAGATTTTAACAAAATTATTGGCAATAAGTTGCAACAGTTTACACAGAGTGCTTAAAATTCATCAATGAATAAATTACTTTATTAAGTGAAAATTGCTTAGAACGAAAGGATCCAGCAACTACTAGTTTTTGACAAATTCTGGTTTGTGTTATATTAAGACATTTAAGCTATGCTTGATGCTCCAAGAGCTATCATTTTCAATGAATTAGATTCAAGGTGAAAATATGTAAGTGTTTTTTACTTTATTATTAGTGGGCTTCTATCTACAAAATATATAATATGAGATACTCTCCAAAGGTTTTTGCTGTTGGTAGGATTAATTCTATTTTAAGAATATCTGATACAACAGATACACAGATTCTTTCTTAACATCTTTTAATTAGGGCTGTTCTTGATTTTAAATGAGCAGAGAAGGATAAGGGTAAGGTCTGTAGTCTAGTCTTCTATTTTTGATGTTAGCAAAAGATATCCATTTGCCAGTTGTTGTTTTCTATCTTAGGAATCTTCTTGAAGAAAAATGTTTTCACTGCAGCCCATTTAGTTGTGCTGTATGTGTTCTCATTACCTAATTCCAAAAACGAGTATTATTTCCTGCATAGCCTTTCTTTCTTCCTTTCAGATGTTTTCTGTGTGTCACTATAATAGGCACATATATGTTTTTACTAAACTTCAGCATGGAGGAGGATGTTGAAAAATTGAACCGCTTTATTATCTGTGTATATATATGTGTTTATATAGATACATAACACACACACACACACACACACACACTTATATGTTTTATTGTATACGGAGACAGCAAAAGAAACCAAGAAAGTCTATAGCTACAGTAACGGCTATATTTATGTGCTTTTTCCGAATAGGTCCATGTACGTATTTGGGGGGTTTTCAAGCGTTCTTTTGAATGACATCCTTGTGTACAAGCCTCCAAACTGTGAAGCATTCAGAGATGAAGAACTATGTAAAAATGCTCGTCCGGGGATAAGATGTCTGTGGAACAAGAAGCACTGTGAATCCTGGGAATCTGGACATGCTAATAACATCCTTAGAGCAAAATGTCCTAAAAAGACAGGTGCGTGAATTATCATGCACTAATATTTTTCCAGTAAATTCTAGTGTTATAGTATGAAATGTTGCAATGCCATGTAGGAATGAGAAAACAAAACCAGGTGTAACCAATGATTGGACTATTAAGGCAGTTCGTTTCTGGGAATATCTAGTGCAAATGATTTATGGATTGATTTTTTAAAAATCATTAAACTCTTAATTTTATTGAATTTTAAGTACAGAGAAGTAGATGCGAAAAAGCATGAGTTTAAGATGCTAGGGAGCAGGAAACATAGATGATTGAAGGACAAGAAGTCACTTCATTGATGGGCTAGAATGTAAAATGATTTTAGATTGAATTTGGCTCAGTGTGTTTGAAAGGTTAACAAAAGGGTAAGCTTTGAAATACTGTAAATGAATTAAATTTTCTATTTCTCCATCCTCTCCTGTTTTGTGATGTTAACAAATAAATAAATAAAAATCTTCAAATTGTTCCCAGTCCAAGAAATCATAATATCAGTCAGAGCACAGATGGACTTATAAAATGGTTTCTGGCATTGCAGTTGTATAGCACTGTCATATCTGTATGTACCAGTAACACAGAGGGGAAGTATCACTGCTTCAAGTAGATTACTAATACTCCTCTTTGATATGTATAGAAGACTACAATGCCTTCACAACTGTAAAAAAAAAAAAACAAAACAAAACTTGAAACAAACAAACCCTTTGCTGCAGGGTGTCGAAATCAGTTAAAGTTTGTCTTGTGAAATTCTGTTTGTCGTAGTGATAGCTGTATTATTTGAAATGACAAATTGCTGTTTCAATCAACTGTTGCACCTTATTTCTAGAGTATTTTAGCTTGTCTAAAGTAGATTGCTTGTAAAAGTGCTGTTCTTATACTTTACATGAGCACAATATGCAACACTGCTACATATATCTGCTATTTTTTTCTGTGCATCTTTCCATGCAGCACGGTATATAATTGCTAACCAAACTTTAGCTGTATGCTAAATTTATGGACTATCATATTAGACTGCCAGTCTATTTTTAATGTTTGTTTAACAAATATTAGCTCTCCTCTTCATAGATATTTCCAGATGATTTTTCTGTTATTTTTCCATGATTTGTTTCTGAACTGGATATGAAGTTGCAAAGTTGGAAAAACATTACAGTGTGGATTACATAACAAAAACATTACCTAGGTGAAACTGTTTTCTGAAGAACTGCTCCTGTACAGTTTCATCAGATTTAGAGATCTGGAATCTAGGACATTTCAGCCCTTGAGTGTTTCTTCAAAATAATACAGATTAAGGATGATCTTATGAAAGGCTGATCATATCATCAGATATTTTTTAAAAAAGAGGGGAGAGGCAAAACAAACTACAGACAGGCTGAAGCAAAATAGAAAAATTAGGGCAATTTCTAAAATATGCAGTGGGATCTGCAGTGGGATCAAACTACACCTATATCAAAGCAGAGGAGGTAAGGTGTAAAAAATTCCAACTGTGAAGTTGTGTGGATCTACGAAAACCTTCAATAACTGGGCTGCACCACTTCACTTCTGCTGAATCCCTCCAATTTCTGATAGTAACATTCTGCCAAAAGCCGAATATTCATATATTCTTTTGCACAACCTGACTTGATTGTTTTGCTGGTTGAGAGCACCATGTGAGAAACTGCTGACAATCAAAACACAAATTCCAGTGGGTTTGCAGAAGAGCCGTTCTTGGATAGCGAGTCTTCCCTGGCAGTGGAATCTCTTAAACTTGCATTATCCCAGGACCAAAGAAGCCAAACTGCGTAGCATTTAGAAAGAGAAGTCAATGTAGGAGATGGAAGACGTTCTCCTATATTGAACTGTGGTGATTTTTCAATTTTTATCTCCTTTTAACAGAAGTAAACATTTTTTGTCTCAAACTGTTTTAAATAACACAGATTTTAGTCTGAAGTCCAAAGTTTTTTCATAGAGAAAGGGCAGAGCACTGTAACTTACTAATCATTTTTAAGTTTATAAATTAATTTAGAAAGAGTTAAAATATTTATGTGTTGTTAGCAGTCATAGCATGTGTTTTTTGTTTTTGTTTTGTTTTTATTTTTATTTTTTTGTTTGTTTTTAACTTCTTTTACCATTACCTACCGGCATGGTGATCTTGTAGGTTTTTTGCAGAAACCTGCCTCTGAAGAAAATCTTTCTTTGTTAAAGGACTGAGCAAAGGATAGTTTAAGTTTAACTTGCTAAGTTTAACTTTTATACTGTACTAAATGAGTCTGTATGTTGCAAACCGGTGAGTGTTCCTTTAGTTGAATAAATGTTACTAAGTGAATACAATTGATTTCCTACAGTAACTTACAGCCTTTTAAATGGCCAGAATTCAAATAAAAGATATGACAGGAAGTATTCTAAGCAAGGGTATTCTAAGCAAGTAAAATGCAATGGTGTTCTCCTTCAATGTGATGTTTCTTTTTGATTTCCATTTGTATTGCAGCTCCTGCAGATGATAGATGTTACAGATATGCAGACTGTGCAAGCTGTACTGCCAATACGAACGGATGCCAGTGGTGTGATGACAAGAAGTGCATTTCAGCAAATAGTAACTGTAGCATGGTGAGTCCTTGCAAATCTATAATCATGGTATTAATATTGTTTCTTTTGTAGCTAAAACAATGGCTTCTTGCACAAAATGAAAAGGAGATGCACACCTAGCAGACTTTAATAGTAGCTTGTTTTGAACACAAACATAAACACACCAATATAGTATAACTATGTAAACGTTTTTGTTTTAAAAAAAAACAGTCAAAGATACCCTGATACAGTGATTTATTATTCACAGCTCTGTGTGTTTCAGGATTTATTACTACCAGTTTGTTTATAAATTATATAATACTGTTCCAATGATCATCTCTAGACAAGTGAACCATAAACTTATCACATTGTGATACTTCACTGAATGTAAGAGTTGACCCACAGGAGTAAATACAAATAGCATTTGAGACTGCTGAGTATTGTGTCTTCTAAAGGGTAAAGTCATTACTTCCAGTGTCATTTGGTGAAGGTAAACATATTTCTAGTGAAATTAAAATCTAAGAAACTTACACCTGGCTCCTAAGAACTATTTTTTTTACAAGCTTGTATTTTATGAACATCTATTGACTCTATAATTAAAAATAAAAATACTTTAAAAGGAGAAAAAGCAAAAATTCTGACTAGCTTTAAAAATATATATATCACTGCAATTCTCTTTATTGCCCTACCTCTTACCACACAGGCAAATGCTATTGATAGGAAAGGAGTAAACTAGGTTTCCAGTGAAAGCAATTTTCTGGGTATTTTTGGCAAGAACAAATGGAAAAGTCAGTAGCTTACATAATTTATAAATATTGAGCTCAAACTTTTGATGGAATATGCAATCCTATAGATATGAAAAAGGATGTAGAACAAAATAAGCATATTTAGATTAATTTAACCTGTATGTAGAAGATAAAATGAATGAGAATTCTTCCTTTTCAACATTAGATCTCAAAGTGGATAATAGTGGATAATTTTTCAAATGGGGAAACTGAGACAATAAGCTGTTGAGTTTCCTGTCATCACACAGTTATTCAATAGCAGAACTGAATAAAAGTAGTCCTTTTTCCTTCTGACCTCCCTATTCTGTCAGTCGGTGTAAAGATATTCTGTCAGTATGATGATTGATTTATGTGATATACTTTATTTATTTGATATACCTGATTTATTTGGTATATAAGCTGTTTGTAATCTTAGCTCTTTGAGTATGGCCTAGGAACTTCTTTCTGAGCATCGTATGGTTATGGAGTCTTTTATTAATTTGGACCTTTCTGGCAGTCTTTGACATTGCAATACTGGTTTGTGAGAAGCACTTCAGAGCACTTAATATGCCTGCATATGTCTTCTCTGTAGTGACTTCCTGCCTTTAGTTTTATGTTCTTCATCAGCCAGGTCTTCTGTTGTCTTGGCTTTCTTGTTGCCTTTTGATTCCCTTTAGTTAATGATTTTTGTAATCTTTTCCCATCTGTTCCTCAGCACTTAGTTTTGGGTTCAGTCCCTCAGTCTATTAGTTGGTGCTCTCTATTTCCTTTTTATGTTGCGCCTTTTCACAGAATCACAGAATGGTTGAGGTTGGAAGGGACCTCTGGAGGTCATCTAGTCCAGCCCCCCTGCTCAGGCAGGGTTGTCTAGAACACATTGCCGAGGATTGAGTCCAGGCGTCTTTTAAATATCTCTAAGGATGGAGACTCCGCAACCTCTCTGGGTAACCTGTTCCAGTGCTCTGTCACCCTCACAGTAAAGTTTTCCTTTATATTCAGACAGAACTTCCTGTGTTTCAGTTTGTGCCTGTTGCCTCTTGTCGTGTCACTAGGCAGCACTGAAAAGAGTCTGGCCCCATCCTCTTGACACCTTCCCTTCAGATAGTTATACATATTGATCAGATCCCCTCTCAATCTTCTCTTCTCCAGGCTGAACAGGCCCAGCTCTCTCAACCTTTCACAGAATCACAGAATGGCCAAGGTTGGAAGGGACCTCTGAAGATCATCTAGTCCAACCTCCCTGCTCAAGCAGGGTCACCTGGAGCGTATTTCCCAGGATCACATCCAGGCAGGTTTTGAATATCTCCAGGGAAGGAGACTCCACTACCCCTCTGGGCAGCCTGTTCCAGTACTCTGTCACCCCCACAGGAAAGAAGTTTTTCCTCAGGTTCAGATGGAACTTCCTGTGGTTCAGTTTCTGCCCATTGCCTCTTGTCCTGTCACTTGGCACCACGGAGAAGAGACTGGCTTCATCCTCTTGACACCCTCCCTTCAGATACTTGTAGACATTGATGAGATCGCCTCTCAGTCTTCTCTTCTCCAGGCTGGACAGGCCCAGCTCTCGCAGCCTTTCTTCATGAGCCAGGGCTGAGCAGAGGGGGAGGATCACTTCCCTCGACCTGCTGGCAACACTCTTCCTAATGCACCCCAGGATCCCATTGGCCTTCTTGGCCCCAAGGGCACATTGCTGGCTCATGCTTAACTTGTCCACCAGGACTCCCGGGTCCTTCCCTGCAGAGCTGCTTTCCAGCAGGTCAACCCGCAGCCTGTACTGGTGCCTGGGGTTATTCCTGCCTAGGTGCAGGACCCTGCACTTGCCTTTGTTGGACTTCAGGAGGTTCCTCTCTGCCCAGCTCTCCAGCCTGTCCAGGTCCCTCTGAATGGCAGCACAGTCTTCTGGTGTGTCAGCCACTCCCCCCAGTTTAGTATCATCAGCAACCTTGCTGAGGGTGCACTCTGTCCCTTCCTCCAGGTCATTGATGAAAAGGTTGAACAAGACTGGACCCAGGACTGACCCCTGGGAGACACCGCTAGCTACAGGCCTCCAACTAGACTCTGTGCTGCTGATCACAGCCCTCTGAGCTCGGCCATCCAGCCAGTTTTCAATCCACCTCACTGTCCGCTCATCTAGGCTGTACTTCATCAGCTTACCTAGGAGGCTGTTATGGAAGACAATGAGACCTTTACTTCAGGTTGAGACAGCAGTCCTGAAAGGCAAGCACTTAAGCAATTAGCAATAAATGGCTTCCTTCTCTGCTTACTTTCTTGTCTTAATACTCTCTAGTATGAATTGAAGCAGTCGCTGCAGATAAGAGTAACTGTAATCATATGCTCCATTGGTTATCTAGCTCTTTTGGTCTATAATCCTTCATTTTATATGAATTTTAACTGCCTACACTAGAAGTTTTTGAATGAAGTAATTTCATTTGAAATACTAATTATTTCCCTATTGCTTACAGAGAATATTTTGAAGTATTGAGATGCAGCAGTAGTATAATGTTAGACTTCACTCTAAAAATGTCTTCATTATTGATTTTGAGAGAAAAAATTTTCTTTTCAAAACTAATAGTCCTTGGAAAATATAGGAAAAACCTTTTCTTACAACATTTCAGCTTCTATTCTAGATCTTCACGTTGTTAGGCTTGTTAAAAAGCTACTCTTTTACTGTAACAAAACAGCAGACATAAGAGAGGCTGAATAAATTGAAAGCACCTAACCAGTTGGGATCAAGAACACCAGGCGGTAGCACATGGATGTAGTTCTTTTACAGTCAGTATATGAATTTTAACTGCCTACACTAGAAGTTTTTGAATGAAGTAATTTCATTTGAAATACTAATTATTTCCCTATTGCTTACAGAGAATATTTTGAAGTATTGAGATGCAGCAGTAGTATAATGTTAGACTTCACTCTAAAAATGTCTTCATTATTGATTTTGAGAGAAAAAATTTTCTTTTCAAAACTAATAGTCCTTGGAAAATATAGGAAAAACCTTTTCTTACAACATTTCAGCTTCTATTCTAGATCTTCACGTTGTTAGGCTTGTTAAAAAGCTACTCTTTTACTGTAACAAAACAGCAGACATAAGAGAGGCTGAATAAATTGAAAGCACCTAACCAGTTGGGATCAAGAACACCAGGCGGTAGCACATGGATGTAGTTCTTTTACAGTCAGCGTACCGGCTATATGACATGTTTTTTTTTTTTTTAAGTAGAGCACATGATTTTTTGCTTGGGGAGATGGTGATGGGAAGAGACATAGCTGAGGCACTCCTGCATCCAGTCAGTATTGCATTTTTGAAAGTCTCACTGTTTATGGCTGCAAAGGGCCACCTCTTCCATCTGTAACTGTGGCCAACCTGCACCCATATTTCCAGTACAGTTACCTGAATTTCTCATATGTCAGTCTCCACACATACAACACAATAAAGCCCCAGCTGGTGTATTTTAAATAAAGCACAAACTGCTATGTGAATTTAAATTATTTTATATATGAGCGTGGCAACATAAACTAAACCTTGTAGAACCTATAAAGGGTATGCTAAAGAGCATCTTTTGAGGAATAGAGGGTACTAGAGGATGCTCCAAAGAAAAGTATAATCCTACCTTTAAATTATACTTTTAACAATGACTTAAGGAGAGGAATCATTGTCTTTTTGTAATGTGTTTGCACAGCTTCCAGAAAGATGGCCTCCTGTTTCATGATGGGAGTCCTTAAATGCTGCAGTAATACTTAGTAGTAATAATAGCAATCTGCCTACAGTTGAGGAATTCAAAGAACAATCAAGGAGAGACTTTTTAAAGTTGTTGAAGGAATTATAAGTAGGATCATAATTACCATGGTGAAAAAGGAAAATTAAGACTAAGAGATACCCCGTAGTAAGATTTGGCAGTAGCTTCAGAGAAATAAAGGAAAATCTAATAGATAATCTATTAGAAAATTAGATTAGGAAAATCTATCAGATAAACTAGACAAAACATACAAGATTTTAGTGTTTTTCAGAAAAATCCAAAAGGAGGAGAGTAAGGTATGTCATTTATTATAAATTTCTGAAATTGTAAGGTAAAATAATCCAACACTTTCATTTTAAAAAGGATATGTAGAAAATCACTGCAGTTCATAAGTCTGTCTAACACCGTATCACAATCAGAACAAAGAAATCTAAGTAAATCAGACAGGATTAGTGAAGTAGGAAACTTTGTATGTAACATGATTCACTCACACTTTTGTGTGTAAACATTATAAATATCCTTCAGCAATATAAGACTTTGGTAACAGATGGACTGTCATATTTCTGAATTTCATTGGATTTGGTAGCTCATGTTATAACCTTAATGTTGTGTTAATATGAATCACCTATTGGATTAACATTTACATTGAACTAATGAGATTTTCAGGGAAGCAATGTTTAAACTGGATTTAAGGGAAATAAGTGCTGGGAATAAGGGAATACAACAGAAAACATTATTATAGAATAATCACTCTTACTTTGAATTTTATTTTAAACTTTAAATAACCTGTGCAAAACAAGCTTCGTATTTAGAAAGTAATAGAATGAATATCTTCGTTTAGTTAGAAAATTGCAATCTGTATGTAATATTACCATGGAATAAATCATTTTCAAAACAATCTAAATGCTTAAGGATTTTGACATTGTGATAATGATGTGTTAACAGCAAATATTATTTGAGGTATTGAAAATGAGCAGATGGTGCTTACTTGTAATCTAAAATTCGTTGTAAAGCATCTCTCAGGCAGTTTTGTGAATAACCAGTATGATTGAGTTTGTGCCAGAGGTTTTGTATGTATTACTGTTTGTATGTATTTATTGTCCTATTACTTTACAACATTTCCTTTGGCTTTGTTTCATACAGTTGTGTAGACTCCTTCTCCTAGAACAGCTTTGCTGCCTCTCTTCACTTCACATTAGCCTCTCTTATAGACCAGAAAGATAGTAGGTACCTTTCATAATATGCTCACTGATGGGCATCTTGTCCAATAAAGGCATCAAACGGGCCCCTAAACAGCAGTGTTCTCCAGCAGTAATGAAGCCGGTCTTATGTGAGAGGAAAATTCATTTTAACAATTGCGTTATTTCAGGACTTCCAAAAAAAAAAAACCTACATAAAAAGAGGTTGGTTGTTTTCCCTCTTGACTGCAGTAGGTTGATGCACTATTATCATGATTCCTGTACCAAGATCTGTGTTAACTTATTATCGTATTGCTCCTTTAAATATACTTTATAGTATTCCAGAAGACGATATGTATTAGGAAGGAAAGGAGCTAAAATTGTCAAGTAAGCCATACATGTGCTACCTAAGTGCAATTCTTTTTGCTACCCAGCATGAATATCTTCTGTTGTTAGGGAGAGAAAATACTTGTAAAGTATTCTTTGGCAGTTGTATGATTTCTAACTTATGGGCTGGATACCTCTAGTTACACAACTGAAATCTGAAAAAATATTAGTAATTTAAAAAAATTGACAAAAGGGTATTTCTCTGGCATAAAATATATATGTAATTACTTATTTTCAGAAATTGATGTTTGACAGATTCATGAATTTATGCAAAACTTCAAGGTACCTGCAAACCTGGGCATGTTTTAAGACTTTGGGATATATCTTGATGCCACTGCAGTTGATGAGTTGATTAGCTCTGAATTTTAGCCAAGTAAACCATCCCCACACATTGGTTTTCTGTTTCAGATGAAATATATTTCTCTGCCGTTTGACATGCCTGTAACAACTCAACAACCCAAATATATGGGGTGAGCTAATATAAGAGTCAGAGCTGACTGAAGCCTGAGGCAGCCGTATTTCTGCATTTTTGTGTTATGTTTTCATGCCCTCCATGCCAATGTAATCTATGCTTAATTAATCTGGAATAGCTGAACTGGCCTTCACTTTTAAGTAAAATAGGGACTTTTAGTAAAATGCTTTGGTAAGCAGCTATAAATGTAACTCCTGTAAATTAAATGTCTTGTGCATTCTTGTATATCCTTGTATTATGCCACTCTGGATATCTCCTAAGGAAGAGGAAACAAGCCCTTTCCTTTCACCTAGACTGTGTACTTTGAGTTGGACTATGACAAATTTGACCACCATTGCCATCGTTGGGGTGGGGGGGGGCGGGGGTGGTGTCCTGCTGTGGAAGTATGTTTTAATATGAGTTTGTGTATTTTGGTGAGAATAACGATGCTTTGACTTTGCTTTAGGACTTATTTTTAATTATTACCTGCAAATGAAATTAGTTAAGACAGTCTAATGGGTAGATAGATGAATTGATTCATATTTTGGGCAGTTTATTAAATAAGATGTCAGTAATTATATCTCACCTTAAAAGTGCTACTTGAGGAATAAAAATGTTTTCAAAATGCCTAACTTAAAAAGCAATACTTAATTTTTCAGAAAAGAATCAGATAAATTCCTTCAGGGTTTACTACTTTTCTTATACACTAATATACCAAAGGAATACTGTTATCCTTGGTTTTATGTCACTGCTTGCCAAAATGGTACCCTGTAGATGCTGTGCATTTTATAGCAAGTATCTTAAATACAAGTTTGTAGTTAAAACTTTAAGATAAAATGACGAGAATTTTTGAAAAATCCTGAAAAGTATTTCTTGTGTTTTATAATCACTTGTCTGTAACTCCAATTTTACGTGATTCACTTAACTTAGGTAAAGCAATATAGTGCATTATCTTGCACCTTCTGTCAATGAAGTGTAGTTATTTTATGCCTTAATCTTGCTCTGTTTTTTATGATCTTTTTGATTGTTTTGCTTGATTAACCTACAAATAACTGGAGAATGAAATAATTTGGTGAGAGCATATCCCTGAACTATCTAAGAAATAAAGGTTTAGTTTAGTTGTTTAAGCTCTTCCTATACTCAATAGAGAGAAGTGACATCTTCAAAGTGCAATTCGTCCCATACAGATATATCCAAAGTCAGGATCGGATGAATTTCCCTTCAGAGATGCTCTCTACTGACTGAAATGAGAACCTAGACAAGGAGCTTAAATTAGACCTAACTTCTTGATGGCTCTGCTTTTCTGGGGGGAAACGTTGTGTGTTTCAGTTCTGACTTCTGGTTTGTTGGCAGTTTGACATACAGTATTCTGTTCTGTCTGTTTTGTTTTCATAGTCTGTTAAAAACTACACCAAATGTCATGTGAGAAATGAACAGATCTGCAATAAACTGACCAGCTGTAAAAGCTGCTCACTACACCTGAACTGCCAGTGGGACCAGCGGCAGCAAGAATGCCAGGCGTTACCTGGTAAGGGCTTTGGAATGGGGACTCTGCTTCTCTGCTTTTTATAATTGTTGTCAGAGCTGGATAAATCTCCTCCACTGTTGCCAAAGAACATTCATTCAACTAGAAGACTAGATTCCTTTTGCCCATGCTAGCTTTCCCCTCCTGAATATGCCTATACAGGTGAAGAGAGACGTAATTACATCACTAATTGGTATAGCTCTGCTACCTTTAATCTTGCTAGGATTAATATTAACAGAGGCATGATGGCATATGCGTACCTCTGCACAAGCTAGTGATGAGTTCTAGCCTGTGGGGAGGTCACTAAGTAAGGAGCTGAATTGTCATTCTGAATGCTTTACTGCTGTATATTCACTGGTACCGTTATTTTTGCTAGCTGGGGGTTTTATCTTCCAGTGAAACAGCTGTACTTTAATTTTGCTATGCAGATAGGGCCCAAGGTCTGACTTCTGGATTGTCTAATGTTATTAGTACTATGAAAGCAGGGAATATAAAAATGCTGACATAAAATATTTTCAGAAGGTAAATGTTAATATTCTGAAATAATATTTACTCTGTAATTCATATGCATAACTACATATCTGCAATTAGATATCGGAACTGCCCCACCTGATCTTCTTGTCCAACTGAAGTTAATGAACCGAACTGGTTTTATGACAGCAGCTACCTGTAACAAGCAGTCTACAAATAGTTTCTCTGAAAAATTATTTCAAGAAATTATTCATTAAATAGCTTTAATAATTTTATTTTATGCAGTTTTAAATTACATCTGTGTAATCTGTGTAGAGATTAACTATAATTATTGCTATGAATTATTTAGTCCGTTTTTAAGTTATCTGCATCTGACTGATGCTGAAATATTTTGAAGAGGAAATGTTTCCTAAAATGTTGAGTTATCAGAATTTCCTATCATGCTGATTATGTTTATAGATAGACTAAAATATGTTTAAGCAGCGACAAGATAGATTTGTCTTCATTTAATTCTGGGAAATTTATTTTCAAATTTTTTGAAATTTACATAATGTTTAGATAAAGTGATTTCTTTATTTCCCTAGGATATCTATTGCAATAGCTGAAAGTTAAAGCTCTGCTAATTAGGTGCGTAATCTAGTCTTTAATGTTTAGTTTTGCTCAAATATGAATAGCAGAAATAGCGTAATAATATTATTAACCTGAAACTACATGTGTCTATTGAAGTGCGTCATAAATTGTTACAAGTTTCTTTTCATAAAACACTATTACTGTAATTAAATCATTCAAAGTAATATTACATGATATTTTAGAATTTTAGTGTGACATGAAAAGGGAAATTGAGTATTGGGATATATTTTGAATCATTGTCTGAACAAGATGAAATTCAGACTCAAGTTTTTTTTTTTTTTTAAGTTTTTAAATTTGTTTTCAAGTCAACTTTAATCATATACTTTTTATACTAGCTCATCTGTGTGGGGAAGGATGGAGTCATATTGGAGATGCCTGCCTCCGCATAAATTCTAGTCGTGAAAGCTATGACAATGCCAAACTATATTGCTACAATTTAAGTGGGAATCTTGCCTCGTTAACAACCTCAAAAGAAGTGGAATTTGTTCTGGATGAAATACAGAAGTATACACTTCAGGTAACTTTAATAACTGTAATTCATGCTTATGTGAATTAAATTTGCTGTGAGGAACCTGTTTTAAGGGTTTGTCCAAAGAAACAGAGGAAAATGAATACCATCATGAAGAGTTTAAAATATGTAATGTGCTGGCAAACATCTCTGATATCAGTAATGTAGAAGGTATTACAGAAACCTCCCATCTAAGGTTAAAGATACAGCAATTCTCAGACGTTTCTCCCTACTGATTTAACACTTACAGGTTACTGTTTACAGATTACTTTTAAGAGATGAAACAAGAGAATGTCTGGAACACTGATTTTGGAAATGCCGGTGCTTTTCCAACACACTGTGACAGCACCACTTATAAGTGTTTGATGACCTATAAGGAAGAAAAATTTCCTTGCTTTCACATTAGTATGTTAAACTGCTTACAGGATTGTTTTTGGGTGGTGAATAAGTTGGCTAATCTACAGAAAATTGAATTAACTGCTCATATGACATGATAAGACTTTCCTTTCTGTTTCAAATTGCTGATTTTAAAATGGAACTTCCTGTGCTCATGCTACAGACAATTTTATGTGATGCTTTTTAAAAAAAGGGGAGAGGCATTTTCTTCAAGTTTTCTTAAGGAACACTTGTTGAAATTGCAGCTATGTAAGGGAACTGCATTCTCTTCTCTTTGGTAATAGCTAGAAATGAGAGGTGTAGACCTTGCCATTAGTGGTATGATTGCAGATTTAAAAAAAAAAAAGTAGGGATAAACTCCCCTGCCTGAAAAGGGGTGAAGACCGTTGTCATGAATGTAGCAGACCAAAATCTCTAGAAGTGAGTGACAAGGACTGTCATCTTAAAATTGCAACTTGTGTTTTTATCACTAGTGAAATAGATGCTTCTCACGACCCGATTTGGGGAGAGTTGCTAAAAAAATATATGATAGGTACAGCAAAGTTTTGTCCAATACCCTAAAGAAAACATTTCCTAATTTTAAAGTGGGTCTTTAAAGCCAGTGTACTGCAGTCGTAATGGCACTTTATGACTGAGAGCAACATATCCATACTGGAATTGTTAGATCTGTCCGTTGTCTTTGATGTGATTGACAATGGGGTATTATTTGTTGTGGCTGCAATGTCTTATGAGTAGATAGGAGCTGATTTAGACAGGATAGGAACTGATTTCAAGAAACTTAAAGCCTTTTGGAGCCCCAGACGTTTTTTCCATTTGAATGTTCTGCAATTTCCACTGCAAGTTTTTATGTTTAGTTAATGTTATTTGCGGTTCA